AATTCAAATGAAAAAGCGCCAATTCTTTGACAACAGATAAAACAGCAAATAAGCTAACGGCTCTTTTTTAGCATGTTACATGGCGACACTCTAGACGTTTAACTACATTTGGCTGAATTGTGGTAAAAATGAATTCAAAAAATCAAGACATACCAAAAACGTAGAGTTGGCTGCTCGACTTGACTGAGATGGATGCCTTTTTTAAACCACGATCCAAAGCCCGCGAGATGAAATCACGCGTGGTTTCACGAGATTTAACGTTGCTATCTTATTGACTTACGTCACCTGAACATGATATGAACAATTTAATACACCCTTTCTGCATATCATGTAGTTTTTACACTATATAGTTACATTTAACTTTAAAACATGAGGCAATTGTGTTAAATGCATGCAAGATGCTTACATAAATCCAAGAGATGGCCAGTCCCTTTTTTTCAGTGTAGTAGCCAAAGTATCAAGTACCATGCACCAAGCCATATTATAAAATATAATAAACATATAACTTAAACACATACATGAAATAATTCTAAATCATTATACTCAACAAGTGCATGAGTATCAACATTTTTAGTTTCTGCAAACTTTAACTTGACAAAAACTGTGATAACAAACAAATACTTAATTTATAATGCAGACAAAAATTCCAAATTACAGCTTTCGTGCTGAATACTGATTTTGCTTCGCAAAGTAAAAATCTGCTGCACTTACCTGAGGCTGTGGTATATTTTACTGGAACATCATTCTGTCATATTTTTGGTTGAAGTCACCGTCATGTCGGTTTGTCTGTTTTTAAGGAAACCAGGATGAACATAGTATATGTTGAAAATAATGAAAAAAGAAACAACTTTTTTTCTATTAGAATTTTACTAAAGTTTCATGTTTGATAATGCTAAATTTGCAAAAATATTCAAAAATTTACAAATATGCATTACATTTGTAAATAGTGCTTAAAGGTCTTACTAATCTATGAACTAACCCCTCTGTAGAAATAGAATATATAGACAGAAATACAAACTGGATTTACAAATGTATTTTCCAGAGTTTTGTACATTTCTATTGGAAAATAATCATTACTTCTAAACATGCTAATGACATCACCATAGACCTATGTAAGTTATGTTGTTTTTTGTCACTAAATATGCAGCAGGTATTTATTTGACCCCACTTAAGTGCTTTACCACACACTTTCTTTCCAGTTGTTGAAAGTTACGAATGACTAAACAAGATTTGGATTGCAGATATACACAAACAATATGCATTTAAACACACAGATATTCTGTTTTATACTTACCAGATACCAGATAGGAGAGCTGCTTCAAAATAGAATAATGTCAAGGAAGAGTTTGTGTGAGACCTAAACGGCAGGATACATGCACTGACAAACGCCTGCCAAATTCCAAAAAGTATGAAATGTTTTCATTGTTCAGCCTGACAACAGAAACCTGACACCCTGCAGGGTTCCCATCAGCCACTCAGTTTCAATTATGTTTACAGCAATACATTCTATTATCTAATACTTTACTGACACAGTATTATAAAGAGCCTTGGGTCAGGTGACTAAAACATCTTCCTGATAGATTCAAAAGTCTAATGCTAACGTGCAGTTATGCTAACAGCTGTGACGGGGAACTGAAAAAACATGTAGTGAAAGTTGTAAATTTAACATGTCTACTGTATGTTATAAGAAAGTCTTGCCATTGAGCAGAAATCCTGAAAAGACACTTATTTGGACATATGTTTTAAAGCATTATCTAAAATAACTTTAACTTGATCTTGGTCATGAAAATCTAAACACTTTGTGTGCAGAATTACCAGTCAAATCTAATTTCTACTGGGCATTATTCTTCTACCACCAGTGTTGCTCTTTCAGAAAAGTCATGTATAATTGAGCACCATGCCTGTCTCTTAAAATGTCTCTGTTTATAGTAATATATTGGGTTTAGCTAGATTCCCATCAGAAAAACTAGACTGAAGTGAAACTCCAACTTTAGGGCCCTCCCATTAAAAACACAGCAGAGTCTAAAATTACCTTAATGTGCTTGCATGGTGCAGGGCTGGAAAAACTGGTAATACTGATCCAAGCTAAGACACATCCACATTATCAAACTACACATTTAATAACCTCTATCTATTTTTAAAAAAAGGTGTGTCAGGACATGAGTTCACTTCCCTGTTGAGTTCCTGGAGATGCTTTCAAATGATCCTCTTCTAAGACAAACAGGCTTTTATCTGAAAAGACTGATGAGGCAACAGAGCAGGATTCCTGCATTTATGTTCGTGCTCGAGATTCTTGAGTTACAAGTCGGTCTTTGATCCTTTAGACTCAGTCTGAAGTCATGACTTTATGACATTTTGTCAGCTCGAATGGTCTAACACATTCAAGCAAATGAAGACACATACGCACTCCTTGTGAGGTGTTGGAGTTGTGTGATTTATAATCCTGAACCGCGCACATGGACGGGCATGTGTTATTATTGAAAACCTGATTATAAAGCTTTTACCTTTGCTTTCTATGAAAACAGACAACAGAAGAAGATCAGACGCTTGACGACGCTGCCCCACTGATCTGCCAGACGAATCGTTTTGAACTCTGTCGGCTGCTGTAAGGCAGCAGGGGTTTTTATTTTTCATACCGCAGCCTGTTGGGCGTGTTTGATTTATAACACAGCCCCACCTGAAAGTAGTGGCATGTGTTCAATACGCATGTTTTCAATACATACATTTGTTTTAATGCATACAAGCTTCTGCATATTTGTGCACCCCTCTTTCTCCTTTTTTTCCGGGGAGGTCATTGGGTGTGTTTGATTTATAACCCAGTCCCTCCTAGCTGTGTTTTCACATGGATCCAAAAACACCTTACTCCTGTCACTGTGTGGAAAGAATTAATAAAACACACACATTCTTAAACGCAGATCTTCAGGACTTGTCTGGCTTCATTAACTCCTCTCTGACATTATAACACATTACAAGAGGGAAATGCCTCATTCCTGTTATCATAGTCATGAACATTTACATAAGCAGATCTTTTAGTACTCACGTAACCTGGAAGGTCCATTTCAGTCCCTCAGTGTCAGTTGATAATAGCAATTATCTGCAATAGTTTGCCAGGACTTCACGGTAGACAATGGGAAAGGTGTGCACTGTTAATAAACCGAAGTGAATTTAATTAGTGTAGTCCTATAAAAATCTTTCTAAACACGCATCTTGCCACTTGATAGGCGTCTTTGAAATACTTACTTAGTAGTATTTGTATTTTATTTTGTTTTTTACAAATTAGACTACTACAGCTGTGTCTTTGGGGGGCGGAGCCAGGGTCATTATCAACTACTATTAAACCAAAATAAAGTATTGCTGTGCTGAGTGTTATCATGCATTCAAATTGTGCAACTTTTGCAGGAATGCATGGTGATCATGGGAGCTCTAGATGTTATTGTTGCCATCAGTGTGTTTCAGTATCTTATGTTGTAAAAATCATATAAATCTTTTAAACTGATGAATCTGAGAGGAAGACCATTTTAAAGAGATTTATGATGCTTCTGTTTTCTGTTATTTTTGTCTCCCCCAATGTTAAGTGCAAATGTAACTCATATTTCTGTATTTCTAAGTCCTCCTTTTAATTTGTTTGTCTCTATGTTTGATTTTTACATTTTCTTCCATTTCCTCCCTTGTTAGTTTTATGTTTCGTAACTTAATTAATTAAGCATAATGTCACTGGCTGACTCCCACCTCCCTCTCCTGTCTGTCTGATTTTGCTTTGTATCATCTTTAACTTTTTTGTGTGTGTGTTTTTCTGCTTTAACGTTTGTCCTCCTTAAATTCTCCAACTCTCACTGTTTGTTCAACCCTTTCTTCCCCAGAGAGTCACTTGACCAGAAAAAATAAAGTTGTCTAAATTCTGATTGTATATCTTTCTATAGATACTTTCAGGAGAACTGATGTCTCCTTGAAGATACAAAATCAATCTAAAATAAATAAATACATTATTAGTATTGAGTGTTTCTTGGATGAGCAGGTTCAGTGTTGAGGTGTTTTTGAAACATCAAGTCAAATTTTATTAATTGAACATTTCTTATACTGAGGAACTTGGTGCACTTCGAATGGAAATTTAAAAAAGAAAAAGGAGTTATGGTTTGTATTAAATGTAATTTGATTTCACTTTAAGTGGTTGTCACAAGCTGTTTGCACAGACTAGGTTTTCTGGCTCAAAGGCACTTTGGCAAAAAAAAAACAAAAAAACAAGGGAGTCGTGAGGGAGTTGAACCTGTGACCTCTGTTACAATCTGGTCTGTCTGACACTGTGGGAGAAAAACATGTGGGAAAGTGTTTTAAAATAGTCTGGGTATGAAAATGTGGTTTTGAATGTGGATTTCACTCATGTTGTTACAAAGATGTTTTTGGGTGGATGAGGTGTTTGTTTTAGCGGTGGTGTGACCCGGGAACCGACAGCCCAGTGGCTGCATGTTTGAACAATATAATGGTGATTAGTTGGTCTGAACAGAGTGAGAGACACCAGATATTTCCCATAAATCATTCGGATTTGGTCCGATGTGAAATTAAGCTGTTATCAGATGGGAAGCTTTTGTAAAATCAGACCTGGAAAGAGTCACCAACCACCTCACACCATCTTGTTTCCAGGACGGTATTTTATCCGAAGTAGGGTTTAAGGACAGTTTGTTCAACATTTTCATCAAAGTTGTTATCCACACATCTATAAATCAGGCATGCGCTTATCTTCGATGTCTTTTCTTTATTGTTTTAGAGAGCTTTGGTGCTGCTTCACTTCTAGGTAAAGAGTAAAATTACATGGCTCCTTGCAGGGAAAATTAAGTTATTTCCTTCCAGAAGTCCAGCGGTCTGTACCTATAAAAGAAAAATATGTTTAAGATGTGCTTTACACTTAATGGTCTGTGGCTGTCTCTGTATGTTTTTGTATATAAACCTCTGCAGTCTATATAAACCTCTCCTCAGGGTGGGTTCCTCTTAGCCAGGTACATACAATGGCCTTCACTCTCCAGAGTCAGCACACAGTTAATGCTAGAGTCACACCACTGCTTGAAGACTTCTGCACAACCAAAGTTATGGAAAGGTCTGCGACCACATCTTTACAGCATCAGTCTGCTATCACGTTGTGACTACATGTGGTCAAGTTGGCAGTTACGTCCAATCTGTTTGTGATGATATTGTGATTAACCGGGAAAAATGACAAACCTGTTGCTGTCCACACACACAGAAATTTACTCTGAATGATCACATTCGGATTCCAGCCACGTTTTAAGGCAGAAATCTAAACATTCTGCCATAAATATACTGATGTTGCTTTTGCAAGAAGTCATGGATTTAACCGCACCCTTTGTTGAAACCTGTGTTCAGCAACCTATAGGACGTTGGAGGTCGCTTGAGTCCCATATTGCAAAGAGACACACTGCAGATAAGCTGTGCTCTATGGTGCAGAAAAACACGTATAGATTGAAAAAAATCTTTGCAGTGATTGCTGGCAATGTTAAAATTATATTAATTTAAAAAAATCAGTGAATAAAAAGTCTGTAGAAACAATACTCAACTTGAGAAAAATGATGAGACACCTCAGACTCGACTCGAAGTAAACAGCAATAGGCGAGTCTTTGTGGACTTTGTGTAATTGCAGACTATTCCAGAGGCTTTGGCAATAACAGAAAGCCTGCACACCTTTAGTTTTTATATGTGAGGTTGGGACAGAGAGGAGCTGCTGGGAGGACGACCTCAGTGACCTGATCTGTAACCTGTAGGGCGCCGATCCACAGAGGGATAGATTAACATTAATGCTTTTCACTTTTGTTCAGCATTATTACTCTGAAAGTTTTTTGTTTGCTTGTTTGTTTTTTTTAACTGAACCACTATTGACCTCAATATTCTAATGCATATAATGTGGATATGTGTGTTCATTTGCATATAGTTTGGTGTGTTTTTTGTGTGTTCATAACTTTAAAGTTTTTATAGTTTTATTTGTTTGTAGTTATTTTTCTAAATTGTAATTTTCTTGCAAAGCTCAATTATATATTTTTGAAACATCACACTTTATCCACAAATCAGTTCTCAGGTTTGCCAATGAATGAATTTGTTTATATATCAAAATGGTTGCATTTATTTAGTGTTTATTTCTTAACTTCGATTCAGCTAGAGAATATTTTGGTTTTCCTTCAGCTCTTCTCAAGTAAAACACCTTATTTTTTCAGGATGAATGCCTGAATTATGCACTCCCTGCAACTCCCAAGAAATATCACTACATGTTGGGATAAATAAATAAATAAACTGCACTAAATGTCTACCCTGCATTGTAATTTAAAAGTGACAACATGACCTGAGAGAGTGGTGAAGTTTACTTTTGATGCACTTTTCAAACTAAATATGCCTGTGTCTGTATTGTAGATCCTGCATCTTCTACAGAGCATGTATGGATATCCCCAGAGGAACAGAGCTGCTGGTTTGGTACAACGACTCCTACACCTCGTTCTTCGGTATCCCGCTGCAGTGCATCGCCCAGGATGAAAACTGTGAGAAAATGTCTCAATAATCTAAGTTGACCTGTCTAGTGTATGTATATGTACATATACGTATAGTGAGATTGATAAACATTTTTTTAAAATAAGCCTTAAATTTAGGCAAACGTAGTTAAGAAAATGTGTTTAAAGGTCATCTGTTTCCTAGGAAGCAATAGGTTCACCTTCTTCAGCTGCCCTATGTTAAACTGAAGCACTAAAAATGGACTCAGATGTAAATTTGACTATGATATCTAAATGTCTGACACGTCCAAACATAAGCCAAACCTCTGCCCTGAAAACTGGCCTGCCTGCATTTAAAATCAGCTGTTTTCTTTGGCCATTCCTTAGCTTTTATTACTGACAGTATTTAAACTGGAGGAAATCTTTTGGCCTGCCACAAAAACAATGATACAAATGCATTTTCTTTAAAAAGAAAAAAAAAAGAAAGAAAAAAAAAAAGGGGATTTATTTGTCTGAAAAACCAAGCCAGCCAAAACAGGACTGGGGCAGGTCTTTTATTTGCTAAAATGTGGCCACACTGTGGGTTAGTGTTGACACACTTGCCTATTTTCCTGTCCTTAAGTCAAATGAAACTAAGGATGTTTTCCATCAAGACTTCTCATTGTTTTCTTCTTTGAAAACCCACACGTTTCTAAAGCTCTCTCTACTCCAGAGCAGGTTGGGTTCAACGAGCAGTGTGTAGGGACGGTACTTTGCTCAGGGGTACCTCAGGGTAGCCGTTCAGTAGAGTCGAACCCACGACCTTCAGTCAGGCAGGGGCTCTGACTGATCTGCACCTACGCAACAACTACTTCAAACCACTTGGCGAGTAGCAGTGAAACTGAGAAAAGTGGAAGAGTGGTCTCCCAAAATGGAGGGTGTTTGCCTTCAGAGTAAAGGTTATATATTGTAATTTAAATATACTTGTTGTCCAAATCTTGTGTTTTTAGCAGCAGCAGAACACCATTTTATCAAAAGTTCACCTCTCCCCCATGAGATAAGAAAACGCTGTGAGGAATTTTTGCACAAAAACATGAGAACCAGGACGAGTTGAGAACCTGTTCCACATAGTCCACTCTTTCGTAATTGTCTGTCTCCAAGCTTATCAGTGTTTTTTATCAGTGTAGGTGTTTCCCTGAACGCTGAACATTGCAAAACAATGATGTTAAACTCATACCAAAGGAGCTGTTGCACACCTTTTCAGGATTTTTTTTTTGTTAGAACTGTGAAAAATCCCCTCTCCCTGACAGTGTTATGAAGAAATCCTTACCATCCATTTTTATAGGTTTTATTCACTCAAAGCACAGGTGCATGTATTAATATTATCGCCATATTATCAGGAAAAAGCATAAATATTGTTACAGTATTGGGTTTTTGTCATCGTTTCAGTATCTTTTGGATCATTCCCCCCTAGGCGCTATCCTTTTGAACTCATTGGAACAGATGTTTATCAAGAAGGTAACAGTGACTCAGATCCTTTACTGTATGCAAGAGTCATGCTTACTGGTATGTAGTTAGTCCACAAATGCCCATTGTGGGCCAGGAAAAACCCTGCTGAATCATATTCAAGCCTCGTTTCTGTTTCTACAGATCTACTTTTCCTACAAATGCACGAAACTGCTCAGGAATTAATACGAGAATTGATCAAAGAGCAAAATCGACGATTATAATAAAGTCAAGAAAAACTTCAACACCCATCCCTATTTTATAGGTGCTTTTTTTGGGCAAATACTAGCCAGTTATTTCATGCATTTTACTAAAATACTTAAAAGGTTTCATGTCTGAGTTTTGATTAAATTAGGTGAAATTAAAAATAATGCATAGGCAGCTTAGGTCTTTGTAAACACAAGTAATGCAACTGTGTGCGTTTGCAGTTTGCTGCCACAGTCCCGCCATGATGAACGATGGCATGTAAAAGACTTGTTCCATCTGTAAAACCAGTTTGTGGCTAAACGTCTCTAATTTGCAATCAGCAGCACGATCTCATTTCACTGCGACTCTGTGAAAGACGAGCCTCTAATTCAATTCAATTCAATTTAGATTCCACAGATTAAACATCTTTTTTCATGTTTGGTTTTTTATGGGGTTTTTTGGTCAAAGTTTGTTTTTATCCCCCTGCAGGGGCTTGCTCTGTCAAATCCACAGGAGAAAAAAATGTTTAAATGGAACAGATATAAACAGGCTGACTGAGCAGAAAACTGGAGGAGATGTAAACAAAAACAAATTAGTGACAGAGAAAAAGAGAGAATGGATAGAGAAGAGACAGAAGGGGGAGAAAGAAAGAAACTAAAGACAGAAGACTGGGGAGAGGAGGGACAGAGACAAATACAAAGCACTGATTGACAGAGAGAAATAAAGACACAACAAAAACCATTATCTCCGTGGTTTGAAGGAGGAATTGTGCACTGAAGATATGAACGTTTCATCCCACTTTGTGAACAACTGAGTGAAAAATGTGAAGCGGATTTTAGACTCATGGACATCCACGAGCCTGACTGTTGTTCTTTTTATGACTATGTGGACTAGTTCGTGGAGACTTTTCAAGCAGACCCCACTCCACTGTCAGGTCTCCAGCTTTTCGTGTCTGCAACCGAGTAACACAGGCTTTAGGGAGCCTCAGCCAAACAACCTGACTTTTATTGTTCTGGCCATCTGTTCAGGCTGGTCTTTTAAATCAGTTCTGATAATATATAAGACATTTTAACAAACACATAGAGAAGTTTAAGCCTGATTGGTAGGCAAAGGCAGTGTTGCCAACTCCTCAGGAAGGAAAATCGCTATTGGCTGTCCTAAAAGTCACTAGAAGTCACAAAATGATGTCATCACCTAATTTGCATAATTGGTCATGCTTATGTAATTGCAACTGATGCTTTAGGAGAGAGAGAAATAACATCGTGGAAGAGACATAAAGCCAGTAAAGAACACGCTAAATGCATTTCGAATATATTTAGAACTAAAATTGAATTTCTTTCAGCAATTATTTTTTTTAATGTCACAATTCCAACCCTCCTCCTTTATCCAGGCTTGGTACTGGCAAAAGTGACCCAAAATAAGCAATCTTTGTGTGTGTGTGTTTAAGTAGTTTTAAACCTTGTGATCCACAAAAAGTAACAGTAAAAGAAGAATATTTTTAACTATAACATTGTTAACAAACTGCCCACAGTAGCACCCTCTGCTTGTTGACAGTAAGAGCGACACGTGCTTTCACGTCAAAAGTCATAAGTCTCCAATAACACCAGAAAAAGTTGCCAGATTTGTCGCTAGTCGCTTTTTAGACAAAAAAGTCGCTAAGGGGGTCTGAAAACTCGCTAAATATAGTGACAAAGTCGCTAAGTTGGCAACACTGGGCGAAGTGAGTTGGAGAAGGAAGCCAGAGGAGAATTATGCATGTATGGATTTTACATATAAGAAAATTTGTCTTGTTCCAAAAAATTCAGATTTTCATTAAATATTAAATAAAAATAATATGAATACTGAAAGAAAATGGGATTCATTTATGAGAAACGTATTAGTTTTAGGACAACAAAAACAGTGTGAACTGAAAACATTATTTCCAAGGTTGTTTCAGACTCAGATTCCTCATTAATTTATTCACATGATGCCCTCAGATTTATGAAATGAGTTAAATTCAACAGCTCTGCAAATGACATGGTGTTATTTGTTCAGGTTTTATTGAAATAGTATCAGATTTAGAGATGATGTGTTAATTCAGCTCTATGAACAGTCTGAAAAACATAGTCAGCAACGTTGTTAAATTGTGTTATACAGAAATATGTTTCTGTTAATTAGAGTGACTTAATTAGTATAAATGAAGTGGATAAAATTTTTAAAAATCCTCCTGTGTGTTCACAGTTGACATGGACCATTTACTGTCAGCATTTACGGGATGACAATTGAGACCTTTGAATGGTTTCTATTCATGTGAAGGCATCTGGTCCTCAGCAGTCCAGATGTACCAAACACACATTCATACACACACATACACACCCTGGCATCGCACAAACAAATACCGGAGGATTTGCTTTTGTTCCACCCTGCAGTGAAAAAAGTTTGTTCACATGAAAATTTAATGAAATTAGATTAAGCTTCTTTTGTGCAAACATGAAAAGCAGCAGTTCTGCTCCAAATTAAAGACATTTTGCTTCTAACTGCATTGGAGCAGTTAGTTTCTGTGGCATTGTTATCTTGTAATTCTACCCACAAAGGATGACTGTGACGTCAAAACACTGCACTGGAGACAGTAGGCTGTCCTCAGTGGAACAGACATTTAAAGTTTTGACCTTTATTAGTGCTCCAAAGGCTGCCTGAACACAATAAGACTGGGAAATGTCCAGTGCAGTCACATTGTCCTGTAGCTCTATCTGCTGTGTTTGGGTACAATAGTGTTCAAACTCTTAAAAGTGGTGACCATATAAGGACATCCCCTCTTATTGATGTAATACATATCAAAGAGCAGGAAAAAAACTGTCTAAAACTGTTTAGAGCAATCTGAGTTGACTGACTCACACATTCTCTGTCCTCGTTATCAGTGTTGGGCTTATTGCTACAAAACAAGTCTTGGATTAGACACTACTGGTTACTTTTCCTGAAACCAGTGCAGCATATTACTTAATTATATGTTAGAGAAAGAACGCATTATGTTACTTTCGTGCTATTCCATAACATGACCTGAAATGCACTGCCGCACAATTATCAGGTCGTTATATAAACCTGAGGCTACAGTAGGACACACATACAGTCGTTCTGTTGCTGTTTCCGTATGAACATAAAACCAACAAAAATGCAAAGCTGACAACAATCCGAAGAGACTTCAAACCGATCTTCCACAGTGACTCTACTTTCAAAGCATGCACAGGCAGAATTGGAGGCTACACGCTGCAAGCCTGGCTGCTCATCACTGCCTTATTTACCTGCTGAAGATCAGGCTCTGGACTGGTGCTCTGGACGGGTCGACATACACTCAGCTATAACATCACTCTGGGTTCTTGGCTAGCTCTGTGCTAGCATACTAT